CTGGATAGCAAATATAGCAGACAATATAATCATGACATGGAGGCGCCTGCGCGATCACTTGCATTGCACGTGAACTGGAGCGCATCTCATCATAAATTAACCAAAACTCAGCATATGCCTCACAGATGAGAAATATATAAAGCTTGAAGTGTCTTTAAACGAAACAATTCAAAACGAAAAGAAATAGCCTAGGTTACTCCCTGGTTATGAAATCCAATAGGCCTATGTGAATAGGCGCGTTCACGGAGATGGTGATCGTCAACCTCATCTTGCAGCTGACACAGAAAAAAAAAATTTTATTAATAAAAATCACCTGTCACCGGATTTACAAGCATCTTGCTTTATGCACGCACACATGTTATGTCGAAATAAGGAGATATTATGTTGAAATAACATTATTAATAATAAATCTTTAAGAATATTTGATTGAATGCTGAATGTTGTGCTTGTTCAATTTAGAAAAATGAAAACTTTAATTGTGAAAATTAAAATAATTGAATATTAAATATTGAGTGGCCAAGTTTTGCTCATTTATTAATAGTATAAATATACAATATATAATTGCGCAGCTCCCCTTGTCAATGATCTAGCACCCCCTCAGCAACTGCGTTAAAAATTCTCTGGCGCCACCCCTGACTGGTTATATAATCAATCATATTAGTAACAAAGACAAAAAAGCAAAAACACATCCCTTTAGAAAAGCTGCAGTCGACGAGTGGAAGTGTTAAACTTTCTCAGAACGAGGTCTTTTCATTCGTTGCGTATTTTCTTCAGCTGCTAGTGACGTAATTTAGTTCATCGCCTGTCGCAAATGCAAAGTTGCAAAGCTGATTTAATCAAGGTAAAACTAAATTAATTTACAAAATAGTTTTTTCTATATTAGGCCTCTATATATAAATGTGTAGTTAAGTTAATTATATGTCATAAGAGGGCACAGTGGTAGTGTGCCTGTTGCTGAGTCTCAGCGGCTGAAATCGCTTTCCGAGGCAGGGTGATGTGCTGACCAGAGGTGAGGGGGCACAGTGACCGAGGTGGCCGGGCCAGGCCCCCTGGGGCCCCCTCGTGGCGCCGACCCTGTAGATGATGCAGTCATAACGAAGCTTACATCACTCCGCTGAACATATAGCCCCATACCAGCTCTATAAATCATACAGCAGCGGTGCAAAACTCCTGGAGGGCCACAGCCCTGTAGAGTCGAATCTCTGCTCCATCACAAATACCTGTAGTGCTCACATAAGCTGACCAAACAAATCATTACTGTGTGATATGGCATTACTGCGCACATCACACACCAGAAGTCTGCGCACATCACACACCAGAAGTCTGCGCACATCACACACCAGAAGTCTGCGCACATCACACACCAGAAGTCTGCGCACATCACACACCAGAAGTCTGCGCACATCACACACCAGAAGTCTGCGCACATCACACACCAGAAGTCTGCACACATCACACACCAGAAGTCTGCGCACATCACACACCAGAAGTCTGCGCACATCACACACCAGAAGTCTGCACACATCACACACCAGAAGTCTGCGGACATCACACACCAGAAGTCACCAGAAGTCTGCGCACATCACACACCAGAAGTCTGCACACATCACACACCAGAAGTCTGCGCACATCACACACCAGAAGTCTGCGCACATCACACACCAGAAGTCTGCACACATCACACACCAGAAGTCTGCGCACATCACACACCAGAAGTCTGCACACATCACACACCAGAAGTCTGCGCACATCACACACCAGAAGTCACCAGAAGTCTGCGCACATCACACACCAGAAGTCTGCGCACATCACACACCGGAAGTCTGCGCACATCACACACCAGAAGTCTGGGCACATCACACACCAGAAGTCTGCGCACATCACACACCAGAAGTCTGCACACATCACACACCAGAAGTCTGCGCACATCACACACCAGAAGTCTGCGCACATCACACACCAGAAGTCTGCGCACATCACACACCAGAAGTCTGCGCACATCACACACCAGAAGTCTGCACACATCACACACCAGAAGTCTGCGCACATCACACACCAGAAGTCTGCACACATCACACACCAGAAGTCTGCGCACATCACACACCAGAAGTCTGCACACATCACACACCAGAAGTCTGCGCACATCACACACCAGAAGTCACCAGAAGTCTGCGCACATCACACACCAGAAGTCTGCGCACATCACACACCGGAAGTCTGCGCACATCACACACCAGAAGTCTGGGCACATCACACACCAGAAGTCTGCGCACATCACACACCAGAAGTCTGCACACATCACACACCAGAAGTCTGCGCACATCACACACCAGAAGTCTGCGCACATCACACACCCTGCGCACATCACACACCAGAAGTCTGCGCACATCACACACCAGAAGTCTGCGCACATCACACACCAGAAGTCTGCGCACATCACACACCAGAAGTCTGCGCACATCACACACCAGAAGTCTGCGCACATCACACACCAGAAGTCTGCGCACATCGCACACCAGAAGTCTGCGCACATCACACACCAGAAGTCTGCGCACATCACACACCAGAAGTCTGCACACATCACACACCAGAAGTCTGCGCACATCACACACCAGAAGTCTGCACACATCACACACCAGAAGTCTGGGCACATCACACACCAGAAGTCTGCACACATCACACACCAGAAGTCTGCGCACATCACACACCAGAAGTCTGCGCACATCACACACCAGAAGTCTGCACACATCACACACCAGAAGTCTGCGCACATCACACACCAGAAGTCTGCACACATCACACACCAGAAGTCTGGGCACATCACACACCAGAAGTCTGCACACATCACACACCAGAAGTCTGCGCACATCACACACCAGAAGTCTGCACACATCACACACCAGAAGTCTGCGCACATCACACACCAGAAGTCTGCACACATCACACACCAGAAGTCTGGGCACATCACACACCAGAAGTCTGCGCACATCACACACCAGAAGTCTGCACACATCACACACCAGAAGTCTGCACACATCACACACCAGAAGTCTGCGCACATCACACACCAGAAGTCTGAACACATCACACACCAGAAGTCTGCGCACATCACACACCAGAAGTCTGCGCACATCACACACCAGAAGTCTGCGCACATCACACACCCTGCGCACATCACACACCCTGCGCACATCACACACCAGAAGTCTGCGCACATCACACACCCTGCGCACATCACACACCAGAAGTCTGCGCACATCACACACCAGAAGTCTGCGCACATCACACACCAGAAGTCTGCGCACATCACACACCAGAAGTCTGCGCACATCACACACCAGAAGTCTGCGCACATCACACACCAGAAGTCTGCGCACATCACACACCAGAAGTCTGAACACATCACACACCAGAAGTCTGCGCACATCACACACCAGAAGTCTGCGCACATCACACACCCTGCGCACATCACACACCAGAGGTCTGCACACATCACACACCAGAAGTCTGCGCACATCACACACCAGAAGTCTGCGCACATCACACACCAGAAGTCACCAGAAGTCTGCGCACATCACACACCAGAAGTCTGCACACATCACACACCAGAAGTCTGCGCACATCACACACCAGAAGTGTGCGCACATCACACACCAGAAGTCTGCGCACATCACACACCAGAAGTCTGCGCACATCACACACCAGAAGTCTGCGCACATCACACACCAGAAGTCTGCGCACATCACACACCAGAAGTCTGCGCACATCACACACCAGAAGCCTGCACAAATCACACACCAGAAGTATGCACACATCACACACCAGAAGTCACCAGAAGTCTGCGCACATCACACACCAGAAGTCTGCACACATCACACACCAGAAGTCTGCGCACATCACACACCAGAAGTGTGCGCACATCACACACCAGAAGTGTGCGCACATCACACACCAGAAGTCTGCGCACATCACACACCAGAAGTCTGCGCACATCACACACCAGAAGTGTGCACACATCACACACCAGAAGTCTGCGCACATCACACACCAGAAGTCTGCACACATCACACACCCTGCGCACATCACACACCAGAAGTCTGCACACATCACACACCCTGCGCACATCACACACCAGAAGTCTGCACACACCAGAGATTATAAAATGTATTCCTTAAAAGAGTGACGTAATGAAACTCAGCTTTGCCATATCATCCAGTAATGATTTGTTTAATACGATTTATTTGTTTAACATTATGATTTATGATTATTATGATGTTGTTATTTGTGCTAACATTCAGGATACGTGGTGTACAGTGTACATTTTAGGACATCCTGAGACTTCAGTCATATGATGAAAAGCTATCATGCTTCAGACTGGCTTCAGGTCTCAGGAAAAACAACGTCAGGTCTCAGGTCTCATACAATTAGGCATCAGGCGAAACGACCTCAGACTTTAAAGCATCACATGAAGGCATTGGGCGAAATGGACTCAAGGCCCCCGATATATTCATTGCAAATTTCTTTGTTTGTTCTTCATGTCACAGTTCACCCTTGTTACCATCCTCTTCACTACACTTCCCAGCATCCATCCTGGTTCCCACCTGCACGTCATTCCTCATCACACTCACCTGCATCTCATCATCACCTCCACTGTAAAGGCACACTCCTCACCACAGTTCCTTGCCCGACCTTGTTTGTTCGGTTGTGTTATGTGGACTCATCTCCCTCTCTCCAGCGCCTTCCTCGATCACCCTTTGGACTTTCCCTACCTGCTCACCTCATCCCTGCACCTTTATTGTCAATAATCTCACTATCCACCATCATTCTTCCTCTCCTGTGTATCTGTAACACTTCGCATGGGGTAAAACTACGTTTGTAATACCTTTGCAGTGATGTACTGTTAGCGAACATCCCGGCACCGTTCACACCGCTGAGAGCGACGTTTAGATGAATATGTAAATATGTTTTTTGTATAACTTTTAGAGTCTGTTTGCTTTTATCCTATCATAATGGAATGCTTCAAATGTCTTTTGTAGCAGTAGCAGGTCTCTACAGGTGGTGCTGGGGAGGAGGAGGGACAACAGAAGCTTTCAGATCGCTCAGCGTGCCGGTCGCAGGCTAGGGTACGATATAGAACGTGGATTTGGAGATACTTCTGATTGGCTGGTGCAACGGTGTTGAAAGAACCAATCGGCGTGGGAGATGTTCTATACTTGTCATAAATTTGAATTAAAACAGTAAGAATAAAATATATTCAGGTACAGCTTACCTTCGCTCTCTACCGTTCTGAATCTGTTCTGTTCCACTTCTGAACCACGCAAAGTGAAACTTTCACACTGGCTTCCACAGTAGTCCGTTTCGCCCGATGCCTTATGTCTGAGGGGTTTTCGCCTGATGCCTGATTGTACGAGACCTGAGACCTGACGTCGCTTTTCCTGAGATCTAAAGCTTTCAGTCTGAGGCGCAATGCCGTTTCGTCATATGACTGAGGTCTGAGGATGTCCTAAAATGTACACCGTGGTGTCCCTAATCTCTGTTTAGTGTAAATGTGTTTGTGTGTGTGTGTGTGTGTGTGTGTTTAGCCGTCCAGTCTGGGCTCCATGGGTTTGACTGAGGGAGCGCTCTGTCAACATGACCTGATCAGAGTGATCTACAGTGGCCTGCACCCGCAGAGAGAGACTTTCACTGCCCAGAACAGGTCATTGTTGGATAAGTGTTTCTTTACAGTTCAGATGTTTCGAAAGGAAAGATATGTCAAATGAATTAACAAATTTGTCAATAGTTTTCACAATTCATGTGTACATGTGATTTTGTGTTGTAATGTGTGTCTGCAGGTTTGAGGTATTGTGTTTCCTGATGTTGTGCTATAATTCAGTGGTGGTCTACATGCCCCCCTCTTCACACCAGGCCGTCTGCAGAATGAGCTCCCGGTGAGACCTCTTCTCCACAGTGACCCGTTACATTAGAAGCAGGCCGCCGCTGAGAACGACTGTAACCGAACATGATTGCGGTTCTGACCTGAACAGACGCAGCTCATGCCTGAGTCCGGTTACAGTCGGAGTGCCTCAGCCGACCCCAGAGCTGTACCCGATTAGAGGGATGAACAGGGAGAAGGGCTGTCAATAGATTAACATTTTTAATCACGATTAACCGCCTCCTTTTTGTGAAATTAAGCATACAACATTATTCTTGTTTAGCACTATATCCAGCAAAGTAAACTGTCAGATTGAAGGTTGATTCTCTCAAAATTGTATTTTCTGCCAGTTTTGAAGGTAAATTTTGGTTTCTTTCCAAAAAATTACACTTTGAGACTCCAAAAGGACACAGAATAAACAAATGATATGAGTCGATATAATTCATAAGTTTATGCACACCAAAGCACCCATGAAAAAAACATTACAAAAAATCTTTTCAGAATTTAGTGTAAAGTATATATGTACATTGCAACAGCACAGAGCTTGTTTAGATTTTAGACAGGTCGAGTTGCGATACCGAACAGGACCACATATTACGCATCAATATAACGGACTGATGCGTTTACTGTAAGACTTCTGTACGTCACTGCAATCGTCGTTACCCTTTTTTTATAGTTTTATTTTCAGTTATGATACATGAAACCAAACATATACATTTGCATAAACATATACACTCACCGGCCACTTTATTAGGTACACCTGTCCAACTGCTCGTTAACACTTAATTTCTAAGCAGCCAATCACATGGCGGCAACTCATGCATTTAGGCATGTAGACATGGTCAAGACAATCTCCTGCAGTTCAAACCGAGCATCAGTATGGGGAAGAAAGGTGATTTAAGTGACTTTGAACGTGGCATGATTGTTGGTGCCAGAAGGGCTGGTCTGAGTATTTCAGAAACTGCTAATCTACTGGGATTTTCACGCACAACCATCTCTAGGGTTTACAGAGAATGGTCCGAAAAAGAAAAAACATCCAGTGAGCGGCAGTTCTGTGGGCGGAAATGCCTTGTTGATGCCAGAGGTCAGAGGAGAATGGCCAGACTGGTTCGAGCTGATAGAAGGGCAACAGTGACTGAAATAACCACTCGTTACAACCGAGGTATGCAGCAAAGCATTTGTGAAGCCACAACACGCACAACCTTGAGGCGGATGGGCTACAACAGCAGAAGACTCCACCGGGTACCACTCATCTCCACTACAAATAGGAAAAAGAGGCTACAATTTGCAAGAGCTCACCAAAATTGAACAGTTGAAGACTGGAAAAATGTTGCCTGGTCTGATGAGTCTCGATTTCTGTTGAGACATTCAGATGTTAGAGTCAGAATTTGGCGTAAACAGAATGAGAACATGGAACCATCATGCCTTGTTACCACTGTGCAGGCTGGTGGTGGTGGTGTAATGGTGTGGGGGATGTTTTCCTGGCACACTTTAGGCCCCTTAGTGCCAATTGGGCATCGTTTAAATGCCACGGCCTACCTGAGCATTGTTTCTGACCATGTCCATCCCTTTATGGCCACCATGTACCCATCCTCTGATGGCTACTTCCACCATGTCACAAAGCTCTAATCATTTCAAATTGGTTTCTTGAACATGACAATGAGTTCACTGTACTAAAATGGCCTCCACAGTCACCAGATCTCAACCCAATAGAGCATCTTTGGGATGTGGTGGAACGGGAGATTCGCATCATGGATGTGCAGCCGACAAATCTGCGGCAACTGTGTGATGCCATCATGTCAATATGGACCAAACTCCCTGAGGAATGCTTCCAGCACCTTGTTGAATCTATGCCACGAAGAATTGAGGCAGTTCTGAAGGCAAAAGGGGGTCCAACCCGTTACTAGCATGGGGTACCTAATAAAGTGGCCGGTGAGTGTACACGCCCTTACTAGGGAGCAACAATGAAGGAGGAAGAAACGTTTACGGCGGTTACAATACTCTCTTTATTTTACACTTTCTTCATGACAAAGACTGTCTCTCAAGCTCTCGCAATACGCCGCAACGCCGATCAACATCTCGGTCCTGGCCAGGGATCGATGTGACAGAATGGAACGCTCCATGAGGACGCCAAACAGGAAGCTTTTATTGACAGGCACACCTGTGCACCGGTGCACCCAATCCACCTGATTACTCCCTCAGCTCCGCAGCGCACCTGTAGGAGGAGCAACACACACCCAGACACGGCAAAACCACAATACAAAGTATACAGCCGTAACACATTACATTACCATTGTCATTTTTCTTTAACAAAACAAACTATATAACGAAAAAACCCCAAACAAAAACAAAACAACAACAACACGCAAGTCAGACCTCACTTATTTAGCTGTACTAATCATTAATATAAAATATAAATATAAGGAATGTCATTTGCAATAAGAGAAGGCAAATGCTCCAGAAAAGATCCTAACATTGAAAAGAACATTCTCAGGGGTGCGATATGAAATGAGTTAATTGATCCATTGTTTTCTTGATGGAGAATGAGTCGACTTCCTGGCAACAGTGTGAAATACTTTTTATGATGTGAGGAACCTAATAAATCAGTATCCCCAAATATCCAAATTCTAGGATCATTACTAATTGGAAACCTATAACCTTTGAAGATATATCAATAATCACCGTTACCTTGATTACAATCAGCATCCATCAGAACTTAACTAGTGAGACACTGGTTTGCTTTATCCAGCCGAGACGTGTAGTTTGTATATCATCTGGCCATACCAGTTCAGTCTGTATTTCACACACACTCTTCAGAAACAGTCACAGAATATGACTGAGCTTGTGTTTTAAAGCCAAACACACACTGGAATAAATAATTCACTGGAAACTGGCCGCGACGTAACATCTAACTGCGTGACGGAAATTACATTAATGACGCGATTTGACAGGCTTCAGGAATCATATGCGTGAACGTGGACAGCCCTGATAGGGAGATAGATGTTTAACTGGTGTGTTGTTTAGCCGGTGTGTGTTGTTTCACCAGTGTGGTGTTTAAGTGGTGTGTTTAACTGGTGTGGTGTTTAACCGGCGTGTGTTGTTTAACTGGTGTGTGTTGTTTAACTGTTGTGGTGTGTAACTGGTGTGTTGTTTAACTGCTGTGTTTAACTGGTGTGGTGTTTAACCGGCGTGTGTTGTTTAAACGGTGTGTGTTGTTTAACTGTTGTGGTGTGTAACTGGTGTGTTGATTAACTAGTGGGGTGTGTAACTGGTGTGGTGTGTAACTGGTGTGTTGTTTAACTGGTGTGTTGTTTAACTGGTGTGGTGTGTAACTGGTGTGTTGATTAACTAGTGGGGTGTGTAACTGGTGTGGTGTGTAACTGGTGTGTTGTTTAACTGCTGTGTTTAACTGGTGTGGTGTTTAACCGGCGTGTGTTGTTTAAACGGTGTGTGTTGTTTAACTGTTGTGGTGTGTAACTGGTGTGTTGATTAACTAGTGGGGTGTGTAACTGGTGTGGTGTGTAACTGGTGTGTTGTTTAACTGGTGTGTTGTTTAACTGGTGTGGTGTGTAACTGGTGTGTTGATTAACTAGTGGGGTGTGTAACTGGTGTGGTGTGTAACTGGTGTGTTGTTTAACTGCTGTGGTGTGTAACTGGTGTGTTGTTTAACTGGTGTGGTGTTTACCTGGTGTGGTGTGTAACTGGTGTGTTGTTTAACTGGTGTGTTGTTTAACTGGTGTGTTGTTTAACTGGTGTGGTGTTTACCTGGTGTGTTGTTTAACTGCTGTGGTGTGTAACTGGTGTGTTGTTTAACTGGTGTGTTGTTTAACTGGTGTGTTGTTTAACTGGTGTGGTGTTTACCTGGTGTGTTGTTTAACTGCTGTGGTGTGTAACTGGTGTGTTGTTTAACTGGTGTGTTGATTAACTAGTGGGGTGTTTACCTGGTGTGGTGTGTAACTGGTGTGGTGTGTAACTGGTGTGGTGTGTAACTGGTGTGTTGATTAACTGGTGTGTTGTTTAACTGGTGTGGTGTGTACCTGGTGTGGTGTTTAACTGGTGTGGTGTGTAACTGGTGTGGTGTGTACCTGGTGTGGTGTTTAACTGGTGTGGTGTGTAACTGGTGTGGTGTGTACCTGGTGTGGTGTTTAACTGGTGTGGTGTGTAACTGGTGTGGTGTGTACCTGGTGTGGTGTGTACCTGGTGTGGTGTTTAACTGGTGTGTACCTGGTGTGTTGTTTAACGGGTGTGGTGTGTAACTGGTGTGTTGTTTAACGGGTGTGGTGTGTACCTGGTGTGGTGTGTAACTGGTGTGGTGTGTACCTGGTGTGGTGTTTAACTGGTGTGTTGTTTAACTAGTGTGGTGTGTAACGGGTGTGTTGTTTAACGGGTGTGGTGTGTAACTGGTGTGGTGTTTAACTGGTGTGGTGTGTACCTGGTGTGGTGTTTAACTGGTGTGTTGTTTAACTAGTGTGGTGTGTAACGGGTGTGTTGTTTAACGGGTGTGGTGTGTAACTGGTGTGGTGTGTAACTGGTGTGTTGATTAACTAGTGGGGTGTGTAACTGGTGTGGTGTGTAACTGGTGTGGTGTGTAACTGGTGTGGTTTGTAACTGGTGTGGTGTGTTGATTAACTGGTGTGTTGTTTAACTGGTGTGGTGTTTAACTGGTGTGGTGTGTAACTGGTGTGGAGTTTAACTGGTGTGGTGTGTAACTGGTGTGGTGTGTACCTGGTGTGGTGTTTAACTGGTGTGTTGTTTAACTGGTGTGGTGTGTAACTGGTGTGGTGTGTACCTGGTGTGGTGTGTACCTGGTGTGGTGTTTAACTGGTGTGTAACGGGTGTGGTGTGTACCTGGTGTGTTGTTTAACGGGTGTGGTGTGTAACTGGTGTGTTGTTTAACGGGTGTGGTGTGTACCTGGTGTGGTGTGTAACTGGTGTGTTGTTTAACTGGTGTGTAACGGGTGTGGTGTGTACCTGGTGTGTTGTTTAACTGGTGTGGTGTGTACCTGGTGTGGTGTGTACCTGGTGTGTTGTTTAACTGGTGTGTTGTTTAACTGATGTGTAACGGGTGTGTGATGTGACAGGCTGTGCGTGTGCGGGTTTCCTCGGCAGCAGCTGAAGGCATGGACGGCTCCCTGCATACGTGTGTTGTTGGACCCAGAGTTCATGGTGCAAATGCTGACTGCGGTCTATCATGCCATGTAAGTGTGAACACGTCTCATTCCTTCCAGCCTCAGTTTAGCGCTGTTGGATCACTAACGGTTCCCTTTCGAAAGGGAACTCGCAATGCGTCGATGCCGCTTTGGGGAACGCCTCCGCGTGAACCTGTGTCTGAAACGCTTATCCAATCACTGGAATCCTATTGGCCGGTGTGGTCACTGCTAGTGCGACCCGTAAGTATATAAGGGGCGTCTAGAGAACATGTCAACATCTTTTTGTCTTCAGGGACTGTTTTATTTGTATGCTTTAACCTGAAAAATTCTAAAAGGTAATCATGGCTTGTGAAAAACGCTTCATGAAGTGTGTGGTTCCGTGTCTAAGATATTTGACACCTGATGACACACACAACTTGTGCGTTTACTGTTTGGCCTCAGCATGCACGATCAGTTCTTGAGGGATCTGCTTGTGCCAACTATTCAGAGGGAGCTCGCCAAGGAGTTTGAGAGAAATGTTTTTCGCTCACGCTCCTGGGAGACTCGAGAATGAGGATGTGTTGTCACTAACATTCTCTGATCCAGCAGCGAGTGCTCTGCTGTATATAAAAACAACCAGCCCAAGAGCGCAGGAGATGCCTGATGAGGGTGAAGAGGATATACAACCCGAACCCTCACAGCCACCCTGCCCCGCGTATGTCGAGTTGTGAGTTATGGAACGCGCTTCAGCGAGGCTTCAGCTGCCGTAGGAGTGCGTAAGGCAAGAGACCGCTCGTGGCAGACTTGATGAAAGGTTTTCTCTCCACCCATAAAGCTCCAGCTCCCGTGAGCTGTCCATTCCTGCCCGATTTACACAATGAGATCGAAAAGGCATGGAAGAACCCATATTCAGCGCTCATTCATCACCATCAGCGCACGGACTATGCTGATGTTGAGGGGATGCATGAACACGGGTATGCATAACACTGCGGTCTGAATCTGCGCTTCCTCACCCCAACCGCTTCTTGCATCAGCCCTGAGGTTGAACCTATGATGAGTTATTCCTTCAATTTAGGAACCCGTCGGGTGTGGTGGTAAGTGCGCTCTTTCGAGCTTTTATGATGATAGGCCTCCATTTGTGAATGTCGTTTAGGCCATCCCTCTATGGGCAGCAGGTTGAGCTCTGTAGGTCTCCTCCCTTTACGAGAGTTTTAGTAACATTGAACAGTAGACCACAGTTCCCTGTTAGAAAGTATCATGGGGGTGTTAGGTAGGGTTTTTATATTAGTCAAGTCAAGTCATCTTCATTTATATAGCGCTTTTAACAATGGATTGTTTCAAAGCAGCTTTACAGAGATAAACATATAATTTAAGGTAACAGAGATTGTTTTGGCTTTATAGCGGTTATTGAATAATGTTATTTCCAGCTAAAGTTAATTTTGATTGATTCACCTCCGTCGAAATGATCAGACTTTAAACGCGAACCTGTGATTAACGCTGACGGCGTTCACATGCACATTCATAATTGATTCTATAGTTATGTGCTTTTGAAAATATGTGCGCAGGTTTGTAAATATTATGTTAGAGTCGGCAGGCTTATGTAGTGGGTAGTGCCAATCTGTAGTAGTGAACAGGTTGGCTTTATTACATGGAAAATTCTCTAGCTAGGCCACCGTTCATCCGAGCATCAAACAGACATTTCTGTGTGAGATGGCTTCCTCCCTAGGCGGGAGTTATTCTACTGAGTTATTCTACTGAGTTATTCCACTGAGGCTCTGTCAAGTTACAGATAGAACTACAAAGTCCTCGTAGTTGGCCCTCGGAGAGCCACTGTTATTGCCACCTTATACTTGAGCAGCAGTTCTCCTCTCACTTTGAGAGTCGTTTTGAGATTATAGCTATGAACTTCAGTCACTGATGCCCGTGACATTCGAAGCTGTAGGCCTTACAGTAGAACTTACAGTAGAACTCCTCGATAGTCCGGTAAATGGACTGCATTTATATAGCGCTTTCACTGACCCAATGGCCACCAAAGCGCTTTACATTTGCCTCACATTCACCCATTCATACACTCATTCATACACCGACGGCGGTGTCTGCCATACAAGGCGCCATCCAGCTCGTCGGGAGCAGCTGGGGTTAGGTGTCTTGCTCATGGACACCTCGTCACTTGGTTGGTGGTTCAACCGTGGATTGAACCACCAACCTTCCAGTTTGTAGACAACCTACATGAACCACTGAGCCACTGCGGCCCCACTGCCGGTAGTGCAAGACTGTACTCCCCTTGCTTTAAAGGGTCGATAGCACTTCAGCTGAGTAAACTGTCTGTTGGCAATGTAAACCCTAGCGCTGGAGGCGCTCCCCTTATTAGGGTCCCTTTTACAGTCCCCAGCCTCCACAGGGCTTTGAAGCACTGTGTAGATCCAGGATCGAGTAGAGTTACTCCCCTCGTTTGCAAGGTTTAAAAGGCGCTATGCTGAGTTCTCCTCTCCAGGATGCCCGTCTCTATGATCCGGTCTTTGAGTGATTACTGCCACTATCTGCAGTCCTCCCTATCGGTTGCCTCCACAAGTGAGGCAAGATATGTTAGAGACTCTGTTTAGGAAACCGACAGGTAGTTGGCAAGACTAGGTCAGTAAAATGGGGTTGACTTCATGTCCCTCTCAGAAAGTGACTGGACGGGACTCCTTTCGGACCCCCTGGCCATAGTCCCTTAAAGGAACCCCTTCCACGGAAGCTGTTGGTCCCAAGCCTTTGAGCGGCCTTGGTAGGCCTTCATTGTATCGGAGGCCTCTTTGAGGCTTATAGCTTGGGCAGTGGCCGTAGGCAAATACTGTCACTGACAGCCTGTATGTGACCCAAAGGGGGAAATGTTTTTTTCCAGGAAAACAGGGAACGAGACACTGCGTCTTTCGCCATGGCTCTTGGATGCCTGCACAGTCTTTCAGACGATAAGTTGTTGACATGTTCTCTAGCCGCCCCTTATATACTTCCGGGTCGCACTAGTGGTGACGTCATAGGCTGTCGCCGGCCAATAGGATTGCCGTAATTAGATAAGCGTTTCAGACACCGGTTCACGTGGAGGCGTTCCCTAAAGCATCATCGACGCAGTGTCTCGTTCCCTGTTCTCAGGGAACAGAGGTTACAGTCCTAACCTAGACGTTTTCCTCCATAGTACAAAAAATACTGGACTACAATGAAAATGTAATGAACACTGGGAATATTGGGTGCTAGATATAACTAAAACCTCAACAGTGAAACATCCTAAATATAAATGTATTTTACTGCATTACAGTTATGAGAATATGTTTTGGGTTTTTTCACACAAGGCCCCAATCCTGTAGTGATCACGTCAAATGTCAGCAGCTAATAAATCCAACCATCATGAAATTACACAGATATATACTGTACAGGGTGTCAAGATTAAACTCTTCCAAATTTAGTCAGAATTGGCCCCAAAGGGACACTATTCTAAGGGAATCTCATGAATGAATTTACCTTTTTTACGTGTCCCGGTCCGGATCAGCCCATATTTATTCCTCTGTCTTGGGTGGAAAGAATGTGTGATCAGTCTTGCTCTGGTGTTTCACTGTCGTATTTGTGTATGAACGTGTGTGTGTGTCAGATATAACGGGGAGTGGGATGCTGGGAGAGAGGCGCTGGATGATATCCTGTACAGAGCTCAGCTGGAGCTGTATTCTGAGCCGCTGCTGGTACGACTCAAACATACCTGTGTTGTTCCTGTCTGAGGATTGTTCTCTCTGCTGCGACTGAAGCTCTGTCTGTACTGTGACGTTTAGCTGGGCACTGCCATGAAGAGCTCTCTGCCGGACTGCAAACCAGACGGATCCCAGGGGAAGAAGATCCTGCAGTTGGAGGAGACTCCCACCATCAGCCGAATCTCCCACTGCACCATCACAGCGGCATCCATCCGCAGACTGCGCTGGAAGAGAGAGGGTACGCTCACACACACACACTCACACACACGCCTGACCAGATCTCACAAACACGGTCCGAATCCTCCTGGATCACAGCTACACTACTTTTCCTTGTTTCAGAAGACCTTAAAGGCGTCAAATTAAACATATTTGATCATTTTTCACAAGATACACTTATAATGGGACTATTAAAGGGGCTATTGATTATAACATGAGTCACTGATAAACTCGTGCTGTGTGATTGACAGCTCCAGCGATTATAAAGGGAGCTGTTACGAACTGGTCCGAGTCACAAAGGGTTGGAGATCCTGTAATAATAGGGACAATCCAAACATGTAATCCAAAGTACAGGCAAGGTCAAACACAAGCAGGCAGACCATACAAACAAACACAACAAGGCAGGAAAACGGGCAAAAGAGAAATCCACGGAACAGGCAAGAAATCCCAAACCAAGAGACATGAAACTAGGAAAATGCTCAGAGATGCAGTGAAATCAACTAACAAAACTTTGCATTGAGTGAGAGGGTGAGCCAGGCTTTTATAGGCAGAGCTAACGAAGCTAAAGATTAACAGCTGTATGTAATCATGGCTTATAAGTCCGGGCAAAGGATTATGGGGAATGGAGTCTGTGAAGGTGTGGTAATAGTCCGGGTTGGTGTGCCCTCTAATGGTAATCCCTGGCACTCTCACTGGTGATTGTTACAGGAGCGTTCTGTCATTGCTTTCTGTATATATTTATGTAATAATAATTTAAATAACAGATTATTTTCATGCTACTAAGAGAAACAATGTAAAGTTGAGCGTTTAGTCATTGGCTTGATTTACTGACACATAAACGGCAATAAATGGTTTTGAGACAAAGAACATCTGATTGAACATTAATCGTATATCAGAAATCACTGGTCACAGATCAGGCATTAGAATGAACACAGTTACTTACATGTTGTGGCATTACTTTCGGTTCTATATCTATTCTAAGTCTGTTAGCAGAGCCTGCACCGAAATTGCGACTGATTTACCATAGCATCCACAGTACTAAATGTACTAAAAAAACAAATAATGCTCAAATGAGACATTCACATGGTTGGAAATAAATAACCACATTCCTAGCATTAGGATCCTTTGGAAAGTAATTTTATTTTTAGTCCACTGATCCTGTATCTCTTTTCTCTCAATCTCATCTTACTATCCAGTGGGAGGGGCCAGAATTCGATGATGTAGAAGTAGGCGTTGATCTGAGTCTGCAGAGGCGGTCTCTCATCGCACTATTATGTAATAATGTGACAAAATCCAAAACGAGTCGTTTTCAGTGCTTGGTTTCAATAAAAGCTTTTTTTGGACTAAGAAGGAAGTTTTGAGTTCTGAAACTTACAGGATATTTTTATAGTACTTTATAGTACAATAGTATTTTTACAATAGTATAGTATTTTTATAGTACAATGACCAAGGAAAAGATAAAGAACATTTTAATTTCTCAGTTCATGACCCCTTTAACCCTCTGGGGACCAGAAACGCGCCGGCGCGTTTTGCCGTTTTTTTTTCACATAGCAGAAAAATAGACTTAAAATACTCTGTTGATTTTGATCGTACATATAAGTGTTATACATCAATCGATCCTGTTAATTGTCTATTATTTTTCTGTATACTCACAATAAAAACAAAGTTTTGTGCTTTTTGTCAAATAAAGAAAAATAAACATGATGCGAGTTTTGCCTTCTCTCTGTCAGTGCAGTCCATTCTGAAACACGTCCGAAAAATTAACTCTAACTCTGCAAATACTTGTCATACAGGCACGAGATATTTTTCTTTATGAAGCTTGAATTCTCTTCTTTTCAATGAAGTAATTTATATAAAAAACAAATATTCTCAGTTTATGTAATCTGTATGAAAAGAGAGTGCTGTCAGATTTTTTTTCCCCAGCTCATTACACTTCATTACGCGTTAATCTGACACGCCCACGGAGGACGCGCGCTATTCAAACGCAAATGTTGAGGCAAGCCATGACAATGCCCACATCAGCCGTTCCACCGCGGCGGTAAAATGTGGGGTGTATTTGCTGCCTTTTACCGCTAAGAGGCGCTACAATCATAGACTCTGAAAAGTGTTCGTTTATTCTCTCTAATGCGTAATCTGCTGCCGCACCGCGGCTCATTCGCGATTGAAAGCTGGTAGCAGATGAATTCAACAAGTGAAACGTAGTTAAAATAATTCATAATCACAATACTGAAATTAGGCTACTGAAGTGAAATTGAATAAATAATGAAAAAATATAACATTGCAATAAAAACATTTACAGACGTACAGACGGAAGCTCAGTGGTTAACGCAACAACACGAGCTTCGAGGAGCTTCAATCGACCCGAGATCGAATCTCAATGTAGCATACATGTTGTTAACCGATGTTGGCCAACAGCGTTTATATTTAACCTTCTTGATGCTTAAATAGCTAACTGTTTATAACTGTTTACTTATTTAAAGTCGAGTTTTGTTTAATTATTATTACAACATAAATTTGCTACATTCCTGGAACCGCAGCGCTGCACAAAGGACATAAACTGATGAAGGAAGATTGTCAGCCGATTGCATCAGAAAATGAAAATGAAGAAGCACGTCTTTAGTCTGCTAAATTATTGTGTAATGTAAAAGAACACTAAAATTACTTAAGTTTGAAACCAAGTTCGAACATTTCAAGGTTTAAATAAAGTGTCGGGACAGTTTTTTTTATTATTTAAAACAGGGTTGCATCGGGTTTGGAGTTTATTTCTTTTGCGATGCAAAATAAGAAACACTAGGCTAATCTTATTCTTGCGACATTTTAAATTTGTATTGCCAAAGAAATGACAGCTATATTAAACAATTAAAACAGTAGGCCTACAAAACGAAAATTGTCCAAAGCAACATAATTAAATTAAAACATGCGTTTTTCTTTGCCTCTCTCGCGCTGAATCTCTTTTTAACAAGTTTATTTAGTCTCCCTCGCTCTCCATATGAAAGAGGAACATTAACACCTATTGTCCTGCGCGCACGATACAGCACTGAACTGTCCCTCCAACCCCCCACCGGCTATCGGAGTCTGAGGCTGACTTAACACAAAGAGAAGTCGCAATTTACACTTAAATCGCTATTCTAGACAGTGTTGATAATGAAGGAATTAAATGATTTAAGTTACATGTAGCCTAGTGATATTTCTGTCATAAAAGTTTATTACTAAATATTTCATTATTTCAGTAATTGATGAAATAAAACTGGTTTGGGCCAGCTTTTTCCAAGCAAAACTAAATATAATATGAAAAGACGCATGTTAATTTGTTGTCATGAACAAAATGTTCAACTCAATATTAAATTCTACAGGGATCTTTGGATCCTTACAAGGCATGCAATTTGTGAATTAAGTTTTTTTTTATTTTTTATTATTCAAATAAATATCGAACCACGGTGCTTCGTGGTAATGCTGCTAAATTAAATAACATGTATAGAATAATTATGAACTTAAATGAAACAATATCGCAACATTTCGACAAATACATTATTTGATCTGTTTTTACATTTTAATTCAGGGCGATTTAGCCTACATTTAATTAGAGCGAGATTTTCACCCTTGTCTTGTCATTTTCTCATTGGGAAGCGCTTACAAGTATGTTTGAGTAGATCCTCTGTACCTCTCGTTTTCATTATGGATTTCATAATCAGATAACATTTATTAGCCTGAATATTTAGACATTTAAAGGCTTTAGACATAGCCGATTTCTTATAGTGACTGAGCTGAAGTGGCTTTCGGTTCATTTATGTGACGCGCAGTTCCCGGAGACAGAGACGACAGATAAACTTTTGTCGTTAGCAAAAGTTCGAATAAAACCCGACTTTAGAAAAATGCATAGGGCCACTCGGCGTGGTCTGCCAAAACACTTAATTATAAACTTCAATATTTCATTCAAAATAATCTCAAAACGCTTTGTGAAATTTTGAAAAGCCGTGCATGCATTAAGGCCACTGGAACTAATGAACAACTGAAACGCTGGTTTTGATTTTATTGTTTGTCGTTTAAACATGCTTGTTGCATATCTCTATTTTCTCTATATCTCTATAGCATTGATTACTGTGGAGGGAGGGGTGTGGGGATTCAAATAATTCAGCAGAAGCAGGGATGTTTAGACCAGAAGGAAATCCCCGTCCCCCCTGGCAAATCACACTTTACTTAAAACCATGTTTTTAAAAACTCTAGGTTGTAGGGAATCAAAAAAATAATAATAATAGGCCTAATAAAAAAAATATATATATATATATAGGCTATATATATAAAATTACTTTTTTTTACAGAACTGCTTTTGAAATAACGATTGGTACCCGATTGGTAGCCTATTATTATACAGATGCAAAGTCGTTCTGTTGGATACTATTGTTCCTTAGTGTAAAATGGAAATGCATGGTAATTTTATTTTATAAATATAAGCAAAAAACTGTATGGTGTAACAGAGTTTTAGAGCTAGACAAATCTCTCTGCATTAATAAATATAAAATTTACAGTACACAATGTTTGTTCGAGATTCGAACCCGTGTCATCTTGATGATCGAACCGTCAGTTCTACCGCTCGGCTATGAATTTTCTCACTGAGAAATGCCCAAACGTTTGTTTCTGACATGAGCGAGAAAACGTTTTGTCGTTAGCCTGTGAGTGCCTACATGAATAAAAGTAGACCTTTTACAGTTTTAAAAGATGATATCTTATCTGTATGACCAACAATTACGCAGTAAGTTCTTTTAGCTGTTGTGAGAAAAATAAATCCAAATGAACGTGCCGCCGCGTTTGTCAAACTCTAATTCAACATGCCAGATTAAAGCCAGATTTTAGAAAAATGCATAGCCACTCGGCGTGGTGTGCCAAAATACCCTAATTATAAACTTCAATATTTCATTCAAAACCATCTCAAAACGCTTTGTGACATTTTAAAAAGCCGTGAATGTATTAAGGCCACTGGAACCAGGATCGTAACTGAAACGCGCTGCATGTCTCAATACAGGA